AAAAAAAAAAAAAAAAGAGGTTGAGAAGTTAGAGGGTTGATATGTTGTGGGGCTATTAACCAATGTTATAAAACAACATGTGTACTTCTGTTTCGTGAGAAACTATTTGTTCTGTAAGCCTTCACCTGAAGTACAATAAAAAAAAAAAATGCATGAAACAAAAAGGCAGTGAGAGGAGACTTGTGCTACCAGAAACTGAAATATATTATAAAACAAGTATAATCAATGCAACCTTGTATACAGGAAAATAAATGAATGCACCAAAGCAGAAAGCCTAGAAAACAGACCCAAATATAAAATGATAAATTTTATCTTGATATTTCCCAAAATAAAGTTATTAGATTTAAAAAATATGAAGTGTTTACATTGTGCCTGGTGTAGCTGAAACCTTCGATAAATGTTAGTTATCATCATTATTATTATTTCAAATTAATGAGAAAAATAGCTGAATTAATGAAGGTACTACAACAACTGATTAAGCCATTTTGAAAAAAAAGTTACATTTCTACCTCATTTCTTATTCTAAAATAAATTCCTGATGAATTCAATATTAAGTTTAAAAAACAGAACTATAAAAGTACTAGAAGAAAATTTAGGGAAATGTTTGTATAATCTGGAATGGGAAAATTTTTTCTAAGACAAAAGACTCTATTTACTCTTACCTAACGTTCTATTGGATCCTTAGCAACATCATTTAAACATTCAGTTTCTCCCAGTCAAAAAAGGAAAAATACAAAAACAGTCAGTAGGCTGGATTTGGTCCAAGGGCAGTAGTTTGTCAGCCCATGCTCAGTTACAAGCTTTCTGTTTTCTTTCGTGCTCTGATTTATTGCAATGGCTGTAGTTACCATTTGTGAGCCAATGGCACAATTTTTATTCCCAAGGCCAGACTTCTGAGCTCCAAACTTAACTTGCTCACTTGACATCCCCACATGTATTCTAATACAAAATTCAAGATCTTCTCTTTCAAAATATTTCTTATCTCAATTATAGCATCACCATCCACGAATTTCTTTGCCAGGAACCTAGGAATTACCCTTTACTCTTCCCTCTCTCACATCTTCCACATCCTACAAGAGAACATCCAATAAGGAAAAACAACATCAACAACACACATCTCTCAGTAGAAAAATGGGCCAAAGACATGAACTTGTGACTCATAAAAGAACTGCAGTGGCCAATTAACACAAACCATTTTCAACTTCCATAATAATCAAATATGCAAATCAAAAGAACAATTAGAGATCGTTTTTCATTCACCAAATTGGCAAACATTTAGAAGACTGAGGAGGTGCATCAGTCTACAATTTTAGGGTCCAAGTCTTTTAATAACTGTTACCTTAACATAGTTCAGATTCATGATCAGAATTATGATGTCATCTAGACCATGAGCATTGTTATTTAATCCATAAAGTATAACACACTGGACTTGGTGCAAAATCATTTTAGAATTTTAAATTAAAACTTACAAAGATATAAAACTATTGTTGCTTGGAGATACACACATATGGAAATAATTAGTATCATATCGACTCGATGTCACACAACCACAACAGACTATTTATATGTACATTCAAAAAAATGAGCTAACTGAACAATTCCTCATATTGGAATACCCTGAGCACACACTGGTTGAGCCTTCCTGCTATGTGTCTAACAGGAGGCAGTGTGAAAGTAGATCAAGTGAGACAACCTAGAAGAGCAACTCTGCCCTTGGCCTATGCCAACTGAATCATTCACCTTTGTTTCATTTCTAAACTTTTAAAAGCTTTAATGGCACTCAATACATTGAACGAAATTATCTAAAATAAAAATGAAACAATATATGTTAAAGTGTCAGAGCTTCTAGGAAGGAAACATATTATGGATTGAATTGTGTCCCCCAAAATATATGTTGTAAAACCTGTGATTATAATCCCATTTGGAAATGAGTTTTCTTTGTCATGTTAAGAGGCCATATCAGTGTAGCATGTGTTTTAAGCCAACCACCTCTGACATATAAAAAGAGCAGAGTAGGCTCAGAGAAGTAAGCAAGCAGAGATGTGGGTGGGGGAAGACAGATGCCATACCACATAAGATCTCCAAAGAAACAAGGAAGAGAAGCTGAGAAGAGACAAAGACCTTCCCACAGAGCCAACACAGAGAGAGAGCCTTCCCGTAGAGCTGGTGCCCTGCATTTGGACTTCCACCCTCCTGAACTGTGAGAAAATAAATTTCTGTTTGTTGAAGCCACTCACTTGTGGTATTTCTGTTATAGCAGCACTAGATAACTAAGACAAACTGGTATTCTGAAAACTTTAACTAAGTGTTTACTGGTGGTATATCAAATAAATGTGTTACACTGTACTTTCTGTTTCAATTTCATAATTTAAATATATAATTCAACAACAGGTTTTCTTCCATCAATTTCATTTAAAACTATAACAACCACCTCTTTCTGAATAATGCTGTGATTCGGTCAGTTCAGCTATAATGTTGGACTGAAGCTCCTAAAAAACCTCCACAACCAAAAATGATTTTTATAAAACAATGTTTTCAATGGAAAAGAAGAATTTGGGGACTGGAGATTTTCTGACTCACAATTACAAAGTTATTTTTCCTGTAGGAGTTCAATAACAAAGGGATTTATAGCTATGAGCATATAATTATAAAACCTAACATCACTGAGCAAATACAGCTTTTGAGGATATTGTTTTCTTCAAGAATAGTTTCCAGAAATAGTTTTAATTTTTTGTACCGTATGTTCTAGAATGGGCCCAAGAATTTTTCTGGCAGAGTAAAGAAAATGTTAACAGTGTTTATCTCAGAGGGTAGTGGGGTGGGGAGGTGTTTACCTTTTATTTGACATGTGTCTGTGTTTTTTTTTTTAATTTTCTAACTCTGTATATGATCAGAATAGGGATTATTTGGCATACTATTTTTATTTTTTCTTTATAAATTTATATATTTTTAAAAGTTATAAAAGAAGCAAAAAATAAAGAGTGATGATATTACTTTGTCAATTATCACAAATATTATGATTAATCAGCATGTGTTACACATTGTTAGAGTTGTTACTTAGTCTTAGCAACCTATGTCCTAATAAACAAACCAAGGATAAAGCCACTTCAGCCAAGCAGCTCTGTAGCCAGTAAAAAGAGCTAGACTGTGTCCCAACTGTGTAGGACTTATAACCAGTTGTGAGATGTCTAATACAAATCATATTTGTTAATTAATAAATAGTTGTGTTCTATCTAATTCACACTATGAGAAGTCACAGTGTGGCAAATATTACAATATTCCTCATTAGAAACTGATATTCCATACTCTTAACCATATGAATTTTAATTCCAAATGTCAAGGAAGGCTCTGTTACTAAACTTTTTCATGCAACGTCAGAAAGACAGAAGAGAGACAGGCTAGTCTGGTGGAAAGAAACGCTAGACTAACGGGTGAGGGCAGAGCTTCAGGGGTGTGAAAAGAAGAAAAACATCAAGGGCAGAGGCAAGAGCAGTTAGGTGCAAGTGAAGACTGAACATCTATTTAAATTACCAGTAGGCAGGTGGACTATGCTGCTTTAAATGGGGTGCTGCAGGGAGAACGAACGTTTCTCTACAACTTATACATAATTTAGGCTGTTCAGGTTTTATATGATTTATTAATCAACCAACAAACCTAATTTGGAAATCTTTATGTAAATACAGTGAAGCCTGTGAAAGCCAGAACTCAACAGGACTGCCTTGTTTTTGGGTCTCGCAACTTTTCTGCCTTTCACAGGGTACAGTCTGACCCCTTTTCTATCATTCGTTTTGGTGGAAAATGTTGAGTTTTCCTTCTCTGACAGGTTTCTGCCTTACACAGGCTCCTGCTTTTGCAGGTTTTACTGTGGTACAACAGGGCAATTATTAAATTTTTACAAAATGATTTTCCTCCACTAAAAACTAGAGATGTATAAATGTAAGTTTCTGCTTTACCTTAGAGTTGCTGACACGAATCAAAAGCAAACTGTCAAGTAAAAGATCATACCAAAGAAGTCCTTGCTATGGCTTAGTAGCAATAAATTAAAGAGACTATCCTTGAAAAAGAGTGAACATTAAGGGAAGGAAGTTAACGGCGTGCTAGACATTATATTGTGTGGTTTTTTAGTATTCACAATAACCTCAAGAGTTAACATTATTAACCACATCTTGCTGATGAGGAAACTCAGGCTCATACTTGCCTGAGGCCTTACGACTAGTGAGTACAAGAGACAGTAATCGGTTTCAAAGTCAGTTTAATGCCACAGCCCTGGCTTGCTCTTTGCCCCCTACCTCTTACCTTAACAAAAAATGAACATGTTAAGTCAAATTGTTAGAATCATTGAAAAGTAATCCAGGCCTCTGTTAATTCCTGTCAAGAGGCTGGTACAGAAACTGTCTATAGAGCACGAAAAAACAGCATTGTAGTCCTGTTTTCTCTCCAACTCTAAGCTACACAGCGCCACCTACTGGGGCATGCAGACCACCATTCATTAGAAGTAAGGCTTTAGCTAAACAGCAAAGAATTTACCTGAGGCTGAAGCAAAGCAACCAGGGATATGGGGAGACCAGATTGTGCTGTATATGACACTTTCATGGCCTCTAAAAGTGCATAATGACTTTCCAACAGTTGGATCCCACTAAAAATAAATAAATCAATTACTAAGTGGAGGTAAATTCAAATACATGCTTTAATAAATACTGCATATACATATAAAATACAATATATAAATATACATACAATATACATAAATATTTCAAGGACTTTATAATTCTATTCTTATATAAAGTAAGATATTATTTAAGGAGCTCAAATAATCAATGCTGAGCTAATTATTAGTTTATAGCCAAAAGATTAGAAAATTTTAAATTATAATAAATCTTTTAGTGTATATTTTAAAAAAGAAGATTAGCTGTTCAGTTTAAAAGCTACAGAATTATGTTTTGGAAAAGAAAAGAATTCCGTGGAAGCTTAGGGAAGGGAGTGTTTGTTTTTAAAAATGGTAAGGTTGACATACCACTTTGACAGTTTGATCCCATGAGCCAGACACCACAAGCTGTTCACCTCTGGTTTGACTCCAATCAACACTATAAACCTAAAAACATTTCAAAGTGTCATTCAGAAAGCAAAAGAGCATCAAGTACAATATTACATTTCATCTCTTTATAGCACTGATAGCCAGTTAGAACAAATAATTTACTTTGTTGAAACATAAAATAAAGTCCTACAAATCTCCACCTGGTGTCTGAGAAATGGAAAGGCCATCTTGCCCATTCCTTCAGACTTACTCCTTACAGAATATTTCAAAACCTTCTTCACTAAAACAAATCATACGTATTTTTAAACCTACCAACAAATCACTGTTTGCAGCACCTTGAAGAAATGTCAAAGCAGATTAGAAAGTTAGTCATCTAAAAAAGCTTGCCGGGTCAATGTTTATCAGAAAGCATTAAAATTCAATTAATATCCATATTTGGCCTTTCTTAGAAAAAGCTTATAGAAACCAGGTGATCCTTTCAGATCTCTTGGTAAACAGCTTTAGTTATGCTATGCTGCTTTTCTGATCTATGCCTCACTGCTTTCAGTGAACCATTTCAAATGAACCATATGAAAAATTATGAATTTTTTTTTTCATTTTGTCATTTTATACAAAAGGCTATAATCTTTACAGAAACAGACTGCCACATCTTTCTCCCACGGAGAGGCTGATGGGTTCAAACGACTGGCCTTTCAGTTAGCAGCCAAGTGCTTAACCACTGCACCACCAAGGCTCCTTAGCAAACCTTTATTGAGCACACACTGTGTGCCAGATGTTGTTATCAATACTTTAACCTTCACCTCTATGAGGTAGATACTAAGCCAAGGTTCAAAATGGTTAAGTAATTTGTCCAAGTTCCCATAGCCAGTAAGTTGCAGAGCTGAAAACTGAACCTAGGTAGCCTAACTGCAGAGCCCACTCTTAATCGCTATGCTACAGCATGCTGCTTGGGGACACTGATGTCTTGGGACTTCACAGTGACTTTGGGCCACAGTATCAAGGAAACAAAGCCTTGTCCTTCCTGGTCTCTCCCTTCACTGGAGCTACATTTTTGCCCAGACTGATTACATTTTGCTTTCATGGGTTATCTATATCTAAGAACTTAAAGCAGCTGTTCACTTGGTGAACTGCTGCTCACCCTTCAAGACTTGAGCCCATTACCTCCTTCATGAAATAAGCCTCGCTAGACACCCCCTCAAAGAGTAAGATGCTTCCATCTGTGCACTCCAACATCTTTTACCAAATTCTAATTCGGTGCTTACCATATTTTATTAAAATTAATGTGAAATAACCACCACACTGCTAGATTCTGGAGACTACTGATGAGCAAAATCATCTTGTAGCCTCTCATCATGATACAGAAAGTACAAAATACATGTTGGTTTTAACCAACCTAATTTATCTTCCCACCACCCATCTGTCAGTTTGCACTGTGGTGGCTTAGGTGTTGCTATGATGCTAGAAGCTATGCCACCGGTATTTCAAATACCAGCAGGGTCATCCATGGTGGACAGGTTTCAGTGGAGCTTTCAGACTAAGACAGATTAGGAAGAAAGACCTGGTGATCTACGTTCAAAAATTAGCCAGTGATAACCCTAGGGATCACAGAATATTGTCTAAGACTTCAACTCACTTTGGACGCATCATCAGGAGGGACTGATCACTGGAGAAGGACATCAAGTTTGGTAAAGTGGAGGGCCAACAAAGGCAAGGAAACCCTCAGTGAGATGGACTGATGCAATGGCCGCAACAATGGACTCAAATATTCCAACAATCATAAAGATGGCATAGGACCAGGCAACATTTTATTCTGTGATTCATGGGGTCACCGTGAGTCAAAGCCAACTTGACGACAACTAACAACAGCAAAAATGTATCTTCACAACCTGCACTGCTGCTAAGTAGGTATAAGGAGCTACTGTTTAAATTTTAGAAGATAACCGAACAAATACAAATAAAAAATAACATTACACAGCTCAGATTCCACTGCCTCAACACACTTACAATGTGATGTAAGAGTCGAAACCTTATGACTTCACTTCTTTTAAAACTGTGTGAGCCTCCACAGTCTCAGAGAGAACCCAGCCCTAATGAGAACAAAAGACAGGCAGTAAGAAGACAATGTTGATGGCAATGATGCTACAAGCTGTCTTATCTACTACACAACAAAGTGGCAAGCATTAGGGTACTAGGACAAAACTAAGGATAGGACACACATGGTAGTGAGGTTAAAAATAGAATAATAAAGAAGAAAATTCAGGGAACGCAATCAATAAATATTTTGTTTCATTGTATTAAGAGTAATTAAAGTGAGCAGGCTAGGCTCCTAAAAGAATAAAATACCTAGGAATAAATTTGACCAGGAACGTGAATGATTTGTACACTGAAAACTATAAAACACTGCTGAAAGAAATTAAAGAAGACCTAAATAAATAGAAAGACATTTCATGTTCATGGATTGGAAGATTAGTACTGTTAAGCTGTGATACTACCCAAAGCAACCTCTAGATTCAATGCAATCCTCATAAAAATTCCAACAGTCTTTTTTGAAGAAATGGAAAAGCCAATACTTAAATTTATATGGAACCACAGGGGTCTCGAATAGCCAGAGCAATCTTGAAAAAGAAGAGCAAAGTAGGAAGACTCACATTTCCTGGTTTCAAAACATACCATAAAGTTAAAATAATCAAAAAGCCTGGTACTAGTATAATGATAGACATATACACAAACAGAACAAAATCCAGAAATAAACCCATACATTTTACAGTCAACTGATTTTCAACAAGGGTGCTAAGGCCATTCATGGGGATAGAAGAGTCTCTTCAATAAATAGTGCTGATAACAACTGGATCTTCACATGTAAAAGAATGAAGTTGGACCTGTACCTCACACAATATATGAAAACTAACTCAAAATGGATTAAGGGCCTGAATGTAAGAACTAAAACCATAAAATTCTTAGAACAACGCCTAAATGTAATCTTTGGGACCTGGTTTTTAACAATGGACTCTTAGATATGACACCAAAAACATAATCAACAGAAGACAAAATAGATAAATTGGACTTCAACAAAATTAAAAACTTTTGTTCATCAAAGAACTTTATCACCAAAGTGAAGAGGCAACCTACAGAATGGGAGAAAATATTTGAGAACCATCAATCTGATAAGGGTTTATTATTAGGAATATATAAAGAACTCCTACAACTCAACAACAAAAATACAAACAGCCCAACCAAAAAATGGGCAAAGGATTTGAATAGATAGTTAAGCAAAGAAGATATACAAACGGCCAATAAGCACAAGAAAAGATGCTCAAAGTCATCAGCTTGATGCCTGAAAGAGAAGGATTCAAGTAGGGGCTCAAGAGGTGGTTAAAATGTCAACAGGCAGACTTTGGTGAGTAGCCTCTGGATCTTAAAAGCCTGAGTGGCCATCTAAGATACTCCAGTAGTCTCACCCTGTCTGGAGCAAGGGAGTATGAAGAAAACCAAAGACACAAAGGAAAGATCAGTCTAATTAGACTAATGGACCACAACTACCACAGCCTCTACCAGACTGAGTCCAGGACAACTAGATGGTGCCCAGCTACCACCACGGACTGCTCTGACAGGGATCACAATAGAGGGTTCTGGACAGGGCTAGAGAAAAATGTAGAACAAAACTCTAACTTACCAAAAAAAAAAAAAAAAAAAGACCAAATGTACTGGCCTGACAGAGACTGGAGAAACCTTGAGAGTATGGCCCCTGGACACCCTTTTAGCTCAGTAACAAAGTCACTTCTGAGGTTCATCCTTCAGCCAAGATTAGACAGGCCTATAAAACAAAACAAGACTAAATGGACACACAAGCCCAGGGGAAAGGACGAGAAGGCAGGAGGGGACAGGAAAGCTGGTAATAGGGAACCTAATGTCGAGAAGGGGAGAGTGTTGACATGTTGTGAGGTTGGCAACCAGTGTAACAAAACAATATGTACATTAATTATTTGATGAGAATCTACTTTGCTCTGTAAACCTTCATCTAAAGTACAATTTTAAAAGAAAAAAAAAGATGTCAAAAGGCAGAAAGCAGAGGTGAAAACAGTGACCAGACACTCCCCACAAAGACATAAATGGGGATGTAGAGCCACCCCAGAGATTATAAACAGTGACTATTGTGAGATAACAACAAGGTTTTGTGCCTGAGGACTGTCAGTGACGCTGGCATTAACAAAACTGGAAGACTGAAGGAAGGAAGATAATGTACAATTTTAGACATAATGAGTTTGCAGCTATAGCAAGACAGTCAAGTGGAAATGTCTAGCAGGAACAGGGCTTGGGAATTAACCTCAAGTTCTGAAAAAGAGCTCACAGCTAGAAAGATGTTTGGGGACAGCACAAAAGGGATGAATGGGTTCCATTATCCCAACTTCAAGTCAATACATTCATATATTTAACAAATATTTGTCAAGCATCTACTACGTGCAAGGCACGAGGGGATATAATGTTAGACAAGTCAGATGAAATCCTAGCCATCAAGGATTTTATACTCTAGTAGAGGAAGACAGGCTATAAATTTAAAAATGTATAATCTCAAAACAAGCAACTACAAAAAAACATAAAGCAAAGTAAAAAACTAAAAAACAAACCCTGTGCCATCAAGTCCAACTCATAGCAACCCTATAGTAAGCAGACCAGAAAATGATGACAAGGGCAGGGGGTCACTTCTCAATAAGAGTGGTCAAGAAAGATCTCTCTGAGCAGAGATCTGAATGCCTTCAAGACAGAACTCTGCAGATTTGAGAGGAAAGACTTCATTCAGGTAGAGAGAATAACAAGGGAAGACCCTGAAGCAGGGAACAAGCTTGTCTGTCATGTTTAAAGAACAAGATAACCAAGGGATACCAGAAAGGGATATCCAGGGGACTAGAAAGAACAATATAGATAATGCTTTATTCCTTAAGCTAGACAGTAAATATACAAGCATTCACTATATTACTTTTATACCTCACATATGTTTTAAATGCATGAAATATTTCATAGCAAATTTTTTAAAACCTTCAATGTCTTTCCACTGATCA